GCTTGGATGCAGCCCTGTGCCACGTGCTCTAGGTGACCCTGCGTGAGCAGGGGGATTGGACTCGATGACCTCTGAGGTCCCTTCCAACCTTCGGCATTCTATGATTTCTTAAAATCAGAAAAAATGTTTGCAGTTTCAAAGTCAATCTCAAAATTTCCCTCTCATTTTTTCTGCTCAATCTTCATTTGAAAACCACAGTATAATAACAACTAAGAAATTGAGTCCTTCAAAAGTACAGTTTGGGGCAGCAAAACAGTGGATATGGTGCAGTTAAGCCCCAAAATATTTTGACGAATTTTCTATTTTACACCAGGCAAGTTTAAGAAAAAAGTCATCTTTTAATCTTTACCAACAATTTAAATAATTTCAGCCTAAATGAATTTGCAAGATATTTCTAAGAACTCGGTCCTGTTCACTTTAAGCTATACATATAATTGTTTGCTTTATTTTTTCACACTGATTTTTTTTATACTTAAAAAAAAATACATTGATTATGCACACCTGCAATTAGATCCTGGAAGACAGTCCAAATTATAATTATGTTTATTAAAATGGAGGAATATCTTGTTTTCTCCAATTAATTCATTCAGTGCAACCAAATCTGTCAGTTGGAAAAAAAATAAAGACCTAAATATACAGAGCAGAACAAATACTCTGTAAGATTTTGTGTTCTAAAAAAGAGAAAGTCCTTAGCACAAGTATCTGATACTTGTAATTCTGGATAATTCTGGTAGAAGTAAGCGTTATCTTTTTTTGATTCAAAAGAAATATGAGCTTAACCACATAAATCTTTTTTTACATTATGAATGTGGATTATGCACAGTCTTTCAACATGTCACTCTGGCAAAATGATGCCAGTCAGGATGAAGAATTCTACAGGATTAGAGAGCTGAATAATTAACTTAATAAGCATTATCTTTGATGACTACTGATGTTTGCAAACTTTTATTTTTCTTGGTTTTCATAAGATGAAGATACCACAAAAAGACTCGTCAATAATGATCTGTCAAGAACTAAGAATTTATCAAAGCAACATCTCACAACAAGAAAGTTTGGTAAAATTCTCATATGCAAAGCTGTTAGAAGAATCAAATCTTCCACAGATATATGACACTAAAGAGTATTATGAGATACAAATATCTGAACATACAACCACATCACAAACCATATTTAAAATGGAACAGAAGGACAACTTGGTATATATGCTTCTTAGAAGTTAATATAATATGCCTAACCAAGAAGAGACTCAAAAACTCACCATCATTGAGATCTTGCAAAAGATTTTCCTGGCAGGAGAAGTCCAGCTTCACTTTAATATTCACAGTAAACGTTGCAATCTTCCCAGGTTTTAGAGGAAATTGGGAGAGGGTTTCTTCTAGATTCCAACTCAAGAAGTCACCATACAGTTTCTCTATATTAAAAAAAAAAAAAAAAAAAAAAAAGAACATAACAACGGTGTTAAGAATGTTTAATTTTATTACTGTTGCACTACTATTATTTAACTGATTTGTCATTTTCTGTTTAAACTCTAGAGCATTTAGAATTAACGCATTAAGAATGAATTTAACAGTAGCAAGCCATATGAGATGTTACTGACATCTGCCTGAAAACATGCTGATCACAACGCTCAAAATATCAATTTAGCTCAACACACTACTGGGAAAAAAATATTTGACAATAGGTAGCATGAAATATAAGCTCTGAATACAACATTGAGTCTTAATTACAGAATCACAGAACGGCTGAGGTTGCAAAGGACCTCTAGAGATCATCTAGTCCAACCCCCTGCTCCAGCAGGGACACCTACAGCAGAGGGCACAGGGCGGCATCCAGGTGGGTTTTGAAGACCTCCAGAGAAGGAGACTCCACAACCTCCCTGGGCAGCCTGTTCCACTGCTCTGTCACCCTCACAGGAAAGAAGTTGCTCCTCACCTGGAGACGGAACTTCCTGTGTTTAAACTTACACCCATTACCACTTGTCTCATCACTGACCACTACAGACAAGAGTTTGGGTCTATCCTCTTTACATTGTTCCCTCAGGTACTTGTACATATTGGTCAGATCTCCTCTCAGTCTTCTCTTCCACAGGCTAAACAGGCAGAGCTCACTTAGTCTTTCCTTATACAACAGAGACTGCAGTCCCTTCATCATCTTTGTCACTCTCCGATGGACACTCCCTAGAAGCTCCATGTTCCTCTTGTCCTGGGGAGCCCAGAACTGCACACAGTACTCCAGGGGCAGCCTCACCAGAGCTGAGTAGAGGGGCAGAATCACCTCCCTTGACCTGCTGGCAACACTCCTCCTGCTGCAGGCCAGGATCCCATTGGCCTTCTTGGCCACGAGGGCACATTGCTGACTCATGGTTAACTTGGTGACAACCAGGACTCCCAGATCCTTTATGGGGAACTAAGAACTTGTCTAGTTTTCAATAAGACAGTCTCCCCAACAAGATACGGCACATGCATGCAAAGACCATCTACGAAATCATTACACCAAAATTAGTCAGTTAGAAACTCTGACATAGCTGTAACATGATTAGGTAATTACTTATTGAGCACAGGAGAAATCTAGAAAGACTAATCCCTTTCAGGTTTTATGAAAATAAAGTTCTTTCTCAAAACTGAGATGCAGAAAGATATTCGCTAGACTCAAGTGTTAAGGATGCTGCCAGACAAGATTAGTTGTATTAAAAGATATTTGTGTCATAAATTATTTATCATTTCTCTACATGAGAAATGACATCTTTCATTATTAGTTCCTCCCACACCTGAAGTGCCAAAAAGTACCCCGAGGAAAAAAATCCAGTATTTATTGTTCATGGACAGATTAAGATGCTTTACCCAGTTACACAATCTCTTCAGTCTAGCTTGAAACAAAGAAGAGCAGAGAATGTCCATTGCAGGAAGAAAATAATGTTGTTTTAGTCATGTGCCATTTCAAACTTGGAGTATGCCAAAAACTAAAACAATGGGCATTTAAATAACATCAACAACAGCAGTCAGATATTTCACTATTAGTATTGGTAATATTAGTATTATTAGTAGTAGTATTTAGAATACTACAGTAACACAGTAACTGTTTCCTGATTTAATATTACTTCAGACACTAAACAGGCATAAGAAATATTTGCTATTTTATTTCTCTAATGCACTTCAGGAATGATCCTGGATTTAAAAAAAAATCCCTTAATATCTTAGTGCTGCCCTCTTAATCCACATATTTATTAATATTTGCAAGAGTATATAACAATGAACACTGCAGAAGTCTATTAATAAATATGAAGTAAATGTGCTATTTTGACTAGGTGCATCCTGAAAAGATACTATTAATTTACAAAGATATATAGCATTGCAAAATATACTAAAGGCTTCTTCGGGCTCATACCAGCCTTCTGTGTTACGTATGGCCATTTCTGAACCTTCCAATAAAATTCACCTCTGTGAACTACTATAGGCTAGGAAGATTGCCGCAACAAATATAAACCAAAATTAAAGATCTTTCAAAGAAATTAATTGAATTCCTGCTCAAAAAATCTTATTTTGCATTAACAAAACAAAAAAATGCACAATTTTCCATTTAATTTCTATTACATGCTAACTGTATTTCCTGAGGCATATCTTTCCTGCAGACTGAACTGCAGCCTTGTTACTCTACTCCAAAAATCAATATAATGGACTCCTCCAGAAGAATGAAGATGAGATAAAAATAAAAATTCCTTGTAGTAATTCTGTTTCATTAAAGTCACCTCTCCCTATTCTATTCATTAGCTGTGACCACAGCATTCTGATTTTATTTTCAAGAAAAGAAGGAAGTTCAACAAGTACAGCCTCCTCTATCCCTTCTTCTGGATGAGTAAAGGAATGCTAAAGGGATTAACTTTTCTCAGTTGCAGCAGAGAGGAACGACATATGACAAACACGGGGATATAAATCCTGTTTGAGGAAGAAATTGTTTCCAAAATGTAATTTCATCAAGTGGGAGATTTATTTGAAGACATTACAAGTGAAAGGACTGCCTGAGTGAGAACAAATGTTGTGTAAGAGCTTATCCACATTCTAACTTTAGGTTCACTCTTAACAATTTAAGGTCTGTAAAGCAATTGCACATGAGCTCTTTGCACAAAGCAACTGCATTGAGTATCCGATCTTTTGAAAGCCATCCCTCAGATAACGATTCACCCTTGGACTGGAATAAAAGTTGGTAAGAAATGCAAAAGACCATGAAGATTCATGACAATCAGTGTGGACAAAGAGAGAGCGAGTCAGTGAGAAGCCCTGATAGCAAAACCACAGCGGGTGGGACTAGGGCAGGTTTCCCAACACGCTCCCCTTGGCCATATAACCCAACTCCAACTCTGCAGATTGTTTTTTATTGCTAACAGGGTCAAGCAGATATATCCCAGGATATTCACAGTTCTTAAAAAGTCAGTTACATGGGCCTGTAAGTGGATCTCTCCCGCATGGTCTGAGCATCATTAAACAGCCACGACTGCAAGCAGATGTGTTCAGAGACCAAGGAAAGAATACAGCTAGACAGGTGAATTAATTTCTCTCTGTTTAAATTCCAGAGGTCAATCATTTTAAGAAAGATCAATGAGGTTTTGCTTCATCATCCAAGCTGATGCTTGCTCCGGAATCTTAACAACCTGCTAGGCTGGTAAGAACACCTGGCACCCTCTCCTCATGTTTGGAAACATAACCGGGCAATGTCCCCTTGAGTGCACTGTATACCTCAGCTGTCAAAGGTTTTAGAATTGAAAATCTAAGAACTGCATCCAAAGGAAAGAGAACAGGAGAGGGAGATGTGATCCCCAGAGGATCTCATTAACAGGAAGACATGGAGAACCACAGTGCCGGAGAAGTGAGTTCACCCAACAGCCGTGACATCAGAGATCGAAAGGACCACAGCGCATCAGATGGAACCAAGGATGGTTGCAAGATCCCTGTATTTGGAAGAAAGGGGGTGACATCTTCTCACAGGCTCCCTAGGTGATGGGGAGGCTGTTGGTTGTGGCAGGCGAAGACAAGGAAACCCTGAACCATCTGAATCACAGCCATGGTTCAGCTGAGGAGTAAGAAACATCTGAGACACAACTTTCTAGGGTACTATAGATAGTTCATAAGCAAGAGGCTGCTTATACTCTTGAGATATTATATCATTATGGTACATAATACCAAGTTCACAGCTAGGGGCTCCTTGTAGAGACAGCTTGTAGAGACAGCTAAGAGCATGGCCAGCAAATAGAGCAGCACAATTATTTTCTATTTCTCTATTTGCCTTCTCTGACAGGATGCTTGGCTGGGTAGACGAGCCCTGGTGAGGTCACACCTAGAGTTCTGTGTCCAGTTGTGTCCAGTATGAGAGAGACATGGAGCTATTGGAGAGATGGCACTGGAGGGCTATGAAGATGCAGAGGACCTAGAGGATCTCTCCTATGAGAAAAGGCTGAGAGAGCTGGGCCTGTTCTGCCTGGAGAACAGAAGGCTTAGGGTGGATCTTACCAGTGTGTATAAGTTTCTGAAGAGAGGGTGTAGAAAGGATGGCACCTGACTCTTTTCAGTGGTACCCAGTAACAAGACAAAATGCAACAGGCAGTAAACTGAGACACAACAAGTTCCACCTGAATACAAGGAAGAACTTCACTGTGAGGGAGGCAGCACTGGAATAGGCTGCTCAGAGAGGTGGGAGAGTCTTCCTCCTTGGAGACCTTCAAAACCTACCTGGACACCACCCTGGGCAATGTACTCTGGGTGACCCTGCTTGAGCAGCAGGGTTGGACTAGATGGTCTCCAGGGTTCCTTTCCAACCTCAACCCTTCTGTGGTTCTGTGATATTTCACTCTCCTTGGCACTTGCTGTCTCATACCTGCAATTGTTTGTCCAGATCCTCCTAGATCAAGACAGAGCTAGAAATACTGGAGGGCCAGTAAAATAATTAGAGAGTTGGAGAACTTGATGTATGAAGACAGGCTGAAGGGATTGGGTTTGCTCAGTTCAGACAAGAGAATGCTCAGGAAAAATGTTAACCCTCCAGCTGCACGCAGTGAATAGGCATGAGGCACCAGTGGGCACAAACTACTGTAGAGAAAATTCTCTCTGGATAAAGAAAATTTTTCTTATATTATGAGCAAAATGAAATAATGGAACAGGTTGTCCAGAGAAGTGACATAATTTCCTTCTCTGAGTATCTTCAAGAATAACCTTGACAGGATACCCTGGAAAATCCAAAGCCTTGCTTTCCAAGGAAGGTTGGCTAAATGATCTCCAGATGCCTCTTCCAATCTAGAGGTCCATATTTCTCACCATTTAATGTATGGGCTGTATTTGGTCTTTCAATTATATACATACAGCACCTCACATATTAGGAACACCCTGAAATTACTAAAATTAAAATAGCAACTCATTATACTCCTCAGCTTTTAAAATTAGTCTTGCAAACAAGTCTCAGACAGAAAATCCATTCTTAGATGATTGGCAACTTCTATTCTCTCAAGTTGAGAGAGGAAGACACTCTATTGAAAAAAGAAATTTTGAGCTTGAATGCTGTGCAAAAATCACCAGGTATCACGTTGCATTTTAACATGCTGGTACTGACAAAATAAAAACCTACGATAAAATATGGTATTTTCAGACCTTAAGTAGGTAAAAATTATCTTGCTTTTTGCCAGCAATTGTTCCATTGTTAGCATTTTTATAACAGTGCCTCACAAGACAAATCAAAAATAATAAAAATGCATCACAAAACAAAACTGAGCTTCACCCTACAGACTACATTTTAAAGTTAAGATATACATAGTATCTCAGAAGAAATAAATGAAAGCTGGAAAAGTATGTACTGTAATTCTTCATTCCTTCAATTATTTTAATTTTATTAATAGCTTATTTTGTTCCTTCACTTGGCTTTTAGTGTTTGACCCAACTTTTTCTTATTGCTACCTGAGAGAGAAGTTAATGATAATTTAATTAACTCATCACCATATTCAGGCATAAGGAGAAAATAATTTAGATCCAAGGTTCCTGCTTTTAACTATTTATTGCCTTAGGATATTTTTTAAGAGATATTAAAATGAAATCTAGACTTCCAACCTTAAGGATTCCATGATTCTATGATTTCCAAAAAGCTGCTGACCCTTCAGCACACAAATGTTTCAAAATTTTCTTTGATTTTCTTTCTAGGTTTTTGTATATCTGCTTTCATGGCCATGTTTCTACAAACAGGTTTCTACAGATCTAACTTTACAGTGATTTTATTTATTCAAAACTGCCTTATTAAAGAAAAAGCAGACATTATTTCTAAGCATATGTCAGCATACATACCCTTGTTGTTGATTGTTTTTGCTGTGACCTCTAGCTTCTCCAATGGTTCTGTTCCAATATTTTCTAGCTTAATGATAAGCTGCTGGGTCTCCCCGTTGTAAAGCTGGACAGATACACTAGAGGAAACTTCATCCCCCGAAGGAGGCTGAAGCGTATGAGCAGATCTGTGGAGAGTGGTAAATATATAAACCAAGTATTATGAAAAATATGTCAAAATCTTGTTAAAGTTATTATATTCCATTAACCATTCTTTGAAGATTGACAAGCTACTGCTCTACAATCTTGCAAGATATTAGATACCGCTTTCCATTCTAATTTAGGATCATTTCTTTTAGAGCCATCATGGATGAAAGTTAATATGCAATGCATACAATAATTCAGATTTCAAACAATATAAAACGTTTTTCTAACTGTGAAAGCTTAATAAAAATTACTGCCAAACTCCTCATAAATTTAATTAATTAAATAGTCCATTTAAATACTTAAATGTGATTATTTAAATGAATGTCAGGAGTCAGATTTTAAAATAACTCATGTGTCAAATCAGTCCATTTTTGAAACAGCAGATGTGCACAAATCCTATGTGCACTATCCTATGACAGTACATGGAGAAAGAAGAACTGAGCAAAAACATTGAACTTCACTGGGATGAAGTAATATGGAAGCTTGGAGAGTGCAAGTTTAGTGGGCAACTGAGGGCATAAGCCTTAGAGGAGTGGATCCTGGAAGAAAATCACTGAGTGAAAGGTGAAACAGTGAATATAAATGAACTATTTAAGGAACCTGGATGAGAGAAGAAGGATTGCAGGACAAAACAGATGGGCAGAGGTTCAATTTCTGACCATATTTTTCATGCTACTGCAAAGTGGCCAGATGGGATCAAGGATACAAAAGGGCAAAAGCTACTGAGATTAATGACTGATAAATTTGTTGTCAAGCCCCTGTTCGGCAAGTTTTCTTAGCAGGTATTTTTGCTATCCATTCTTTCTCGACTTACTGCAAGATAAGCACCTCCACAAACAAAAATCACACCAGAGTCTGAGCCTTTCAGAAAGCGTCCTTTGCAATAAATATATAAAATCTGCATTTTTTTTTAACAATTTAAATCTTGTTGTGATATATCTTTGTCATTTCAACACTCTGAAGCATGGACATTAAAAGAGACAATGGGGGATGAAAGAGGAAATTTCTTTTTTTCCCTCCATTCTGATACAAAAAAAACCACCAAGCGACTGTATATTAACAAATGAAAAGACTGGCTATTTTGACTTTATATAAGTATGTAAGAAATATAAGCCCTAAGGCAGAGGCTTGAGAAGTAGAGTACAGAGGAGTATTTGCATAGAATGATAAGAGCCCGGACATGGACTTGGCACCAGAGACTCCCCAGCTATTAGCAACAGGGTCAGGTAAAGAAATGCAGGTAGAGCTGACAAAACCTGTTTTCAGAGGGGCTAACATGCTGAACAGAGAATGAATTCCTAATATATGAAAAATGCATCATATCCACTAAGTCTGGATGTAACATGGAGCTGCAAAGCAGTGAAGAACAGGTAGGGTACAACAGCTTGAAGTACTTAAAATACTTGAAGAAAGTAAGAGTAAAGTGAAAAAGAAAACAAAGTTCTCATGCAAAAGAAATCTAGCTGATGTTTCACAATATCAGATGAACATTTATTCAGCAGGTGGAAATATTATGGCCATATAAGAATATTTGCAATTCCCTCTGTATTTCAAACTCATCATGCCTTTCAATATATCCATAACTTTGGCTATCCAATATTAATTTTGATAACAGTTAAACTACACCTACTGCCATAGATAGATTTTTAATAGGGGATTTATGAACATGCAACTCAATTGTGTTTTATTATTTTGCTGTCATATCAGGATATTGCTTTTATATCTTTGTAATATGATACCATTAGCACAACCCACTCCCTATCAGAAAAGCAGAATGCAGTATGGAAATATAAGAACTAAACTGATTGCTTTACTAAGTAAAGCATATTAAAGAATACAACAAGAAATAGGTATATATATCCCTTAGGAAAATTTAGATAACCTAATTCTACAGTAACAAAAATTCAGGCAGGTACATAAAGAGAAAAACAAGTCCCTAAGAAGAATCTTCCCTAAAATGAAATCTTAATCTTCCTGAAATGAGAACAAATCTCCCTTCAGCCTCACTGAGAACATATGTATAATTTCTAACAATAGAAATTCATGTACAGTGCACAAGGGAGCAGCTCTGTATTTTTTTGAAAAGTTCTAAGAATTGAATGAGATCAATGTCTTACCAGCGCTTTCATTACTGTGGAATTAGTCACATCCTTTCCAAAATAAACAAATAAAAACCCACAAACATTAAAAGCCTAAAACCCCCACACAAATACTCTGTACTTTTTGTGAGTACATAAAGATTGTGTTTTAGTTAATCCTTGTACTACTTAAACATACCATTTCTAGAATACTCTTTGGGGATCCCCACTACAAAGAAAACACTGCAATAGAGCAGCAAGAGCAGATGGAGGTATCAAAATGGTTAAGGGCCTGGAACACATGACAAGATCCAGAACACACAGATTTGCTGGGTGCAAGAGTTAGCTTGATTCTGTTTGAGAAAGAGGAAGGCTTGAAGGAGATTTTTACTGCTGTTGTCAACTAGTTAAGGACGGGACATAGCCCCATTCATTTTGAAGCTGTATAGTGATGAATGACAACAAGTCGCAAAAAGAGAAATTCTGATTGTAAATTTTCACAGTGAAGATGATCAGACATTGGAAAATGTTTCCCTGAGGGGTGATGGAAACAGCATCCTTAGAGATACTTGAAACTTGATTAGATACTGTCCAAGATTTCAACCAATAAAACAAAGAAAAGGAAAGTTATGTTTCATGTTTCTTATGTAAGGGTTAATGTTAATGTTGTGCATGATAAGCAAGAGAAGAGACAGAATCTCACTTCATTTGTTTCTCACCTGGGAAGGGAGGTACTGATCTGCAGCCTCGGCAAAGCTGGAACGACTTCAACAGTACAGCCATTGGTCTTGACTCCTGGCAGGTTGTCCAGAAGGCAGTCACTGAAGACTCCAAAAACTGACGTATGATAACCTGATTTGAGAGAGAACACCAGCATATTCTGAAATTATTTGGTTTGGCACATCTGAATGAACAGAAAGCCTAGCAGTGGGATCTTGGCAGTACTTCCACCACCAAAATCACTGCCTTTTCTACCACAGCATCTTACTAGGACACTAAAATTAAAAAGGTTTTTGATCTCCTGAAAATTTATAAAAACATCACATTTTACAAAAGACATGCTTCAGTATTGCTACTTGTTAAATCTGTCGTGTTCTCATATACTGCCTCTTTTAAGAGACTGATCTGCTAGTCTCCTACAAAAGCTCTTTAATTCTCTTTACTTACACAATTCTATTTGTGCTTATTAATGAAATGATATCTGCACTGCAACAGACTACCCACATCAGCTAAATTGCTTCTACACAAGCAATTTACAGAATTTTCTGTAATCTTACATGACCATGGTTAATTGAGAAAAATGAACCACAAGATTATCTTGTGCATTCTCATGAAGAAGTCTAAGTAATTTTTCTCAGAAGATCTTCAAATGAAAGCATTAATAAAGGGGAGTTTGAGTTCATTATCATTCTCCTCTAACGCTGGAGATGTTATTGTAAATATCTCTTCATTGCTACCATTACAAACAAGTGATTTTTCATCATCATGGGCTAAGCCTTTGACGAATTCTAGCACAGAAAAGGTTTTTTCTCTTTTTTTCTTTTTTATGAGAGGGGCTGTTCTACCTATTGAGGAAAATTCAGAGCAGCAACTATATAAAGGACAACAAATGAAACTGTGTCATAAATACATATGCACTGCAAAGAGACTTAAAAAAAAACAATGTAAAGCATTTTGCTAGGAGGAGGAGGACTAAACATGTTGCTTACCATTGACAGTGATCTGCCCAGTGGTTTGAGGAACTCCAACAAGAGTTACCGGATAGAGACCAGATTCCGCAGGTAGGGAAAGAGCTGCAGGAAGAGATTCAAATTCTACTCCTGCTGTCAAAAGACCCTGGAAAAAAAGTCAGATTACATATATAAATCTACTTATGAGAGACAACTTATACTTTAATCCTTTACACTGCATCATCAACAAGGTTTTAGCTTTAAAGTCCTAGTGACTCAAGTGTGCACCTAGAATTACTGCAAGTCTTGCATTTAATAGGGAAGCACGTGTTTCAAGATCTGTCTGCAGTGGGAAAACATATGGATTACAAGTAAAAATAGCTACCCAAATACATACAAAGATCAAGCAACATAATTTACAAGATATTTTCTGTATCTACATTTAATGGCATTCACAGATTTATATATTTGATTATATTTTGGACAGTGGAAATCAAACATCAGTAGTAGCTATTGCCTAATTCCTAATTCTAATTATACTGTCAAAAAGGATTTATCTAGAGGGAGGAAAAATCTGGATAATTACAGATAGTACAGCCAGTTTAACATTATCTAACTTAAAAGCCTAAATTAGGAGCTGGAATAAGACATTCACCTTACTAAGTTGACGTATCCAGCCTAGGTATCTGCAGTTAGTCTGTATGATTTACTCCCTTAATGCATGTCAGAGAAATCCCTAAGGCTCCTGAAGTTAAAACAAGGGACAAAAACAAGAAATGGAGCCAAAAAAAAAAATTATTTCATATAAATACAACATTACTTTCCTGACTAGATTAATCGCTTTTCTAATCTCAATTTATAAGTTTAAGACTTTTGAACACGGTGCGTACTGTTAGAAGTAGTATATTTATTGTTGTACTAAACTGTGGCTGCTTAAATATTTATTTTTTATGACTATGTTATCCAGTACTATCTCCTCCAACATTTAAAATGGCAAGTACAACTGGGTTATACTCAAGTTCTATAAAAATGCTTCACAGGAACTTCTAGAGTCTGTCAAAAATGTAGATAAGATTTTTGTAAAGACAGATAAAAAACATTAACAGCTTGAGCCAAAAGAAGTCACATGGAGGCTGAAGACCAAACCAGAAGGTATCAGTGATATCTGCAATGCCAGAATTTGGCTTTTCCTTGAAACCTCCCAATTACCTAGTTCTAATTAAATAGGGTTTTGAATAGGGCATCTCCAATGCTCACAGCCGGTGCCAAATGCGAATGACTAGCACTCTTCTGTCTCTAATTCTCAATTAGGGATAAGGAAAATTGATACTCATTTGATAACAAGCACTGCAGGAAAAGAAAAGAGCACCACCTGAATTACCCAGCCAATGACTGCATCTTGACCTGTCAGATGCACTTAGTCTTTAATGGTCTGATTTGCAAAGGGCCACATAACCAACAAGTTTTCTTCAAGCAGTTCCTAGATAGTGATTAAAATCAATCCCTAATGAAATGAAATTCCCTCCTCAAAAAACAGTGTTTTGTAGAAAAATTAACCATCTCCTATACAACGCATACTATGTACAATAAAGTTTTGCATTTAAGATAGTGAACAGGGATGACATGGACAGACTTGCAGTTTAAGGAAGCTCAATGGACTTGCCAGGTCCTCGAGTTCTTTTTTGCTGCAGATCTGAAGTCGCCAACATTCACAAAGCGCCTAATATACCCCAAAATTTTATATTCTTCATTCTGATCTGAAGTCGCCAACATTCACAAAGCGCCTAATATACCCCAAAATTTTATATTCTTCATTCTATCAATTTCTTTGTAGACTTTTTTCACCCGATTCCAATCTGGGCTTCTGCTGTCAGGGGAGATAACAGCAAATTTCAAATAAAAAATACTTCTATCATGTTATACTTTCATCACCCAGGATATCAGAGCACTGACGCCTTGTGATTCCCACTTTATAATTGCAAACTTGATCATTGCCTTCCAACAGGAGACTTTTATGTAGCTAAAACTCTGTTTTTGCTTTAATTGAAGCAAATCTTAGAACATATATGAAAGGTCACCCCACTTACTCCAGAATTCACCCTTAAAACAGGTACCCTTAAAACAGGTACTAAATAATTTGTGAAATTATTTCTGGCTCCAAAGCACTGATCCCACCACTTGGCCAAACATTTAAAAATATCGAAATCAGTCAGGATTCAATTCAATAAAATATTTTGATCCAGGACTTGTAGAATCCTAAAAAGAATGATAAAAATTTCAATAAGTGGTTTATTATCAAAGGTAGAGCTGAGGGGGAGCTCTCAGTATCACTTACTTGATCTCCCTGCTTGGACACAGGGCCAGGTCTAAGGAAGCCATTTCTTACATGTTTATCTGGACAATTTTCTAATTTCTCTCAGTTGTATCTTCAAAAAGACTGGATATTAACCACCATGTTTAAACAATCTCCCAGGCTAAAGGTTTCTTCTAATACTGAATTATTTTGTGAAAATGAACAGACTCACTACTGCTTTTTCCATTCCTACTCAATTCCCTCAAATTAATCCAGATATTGAACGCATACAAAAGTACCCAAATCGCTAAGAAACTGGAGCACAGAAGACTCATTGCAAAATCACAGTTGTCAGATAAGGCATGATCCAAGGAAAGAATATCCAGCGCAGGGCTATGAAGTTGATGAGGGGCCTGGAACATCTGCCCTATGAGCAAAGGCTGAGAGAGCTGGGCCTGTTCAGCCTGGAGAAGAGGAGGCTGAGGGGGGACCTGATCAGCGTGTATAAATACCTCAAGGGAGGCAGTGAGGAGGAGGGGGGCGGCCTCTTTTCAGTGGTGGGCAGGGATAGGACTAGAGGAAATGGCTTCAAACTGAAGCACTAAAAGTTCCAGAGGAACTTAAGGAAAAATTTCTTGACGGTGAGGGTGACAGAGCACTGGAATAGGCTGCCCAGAGAGGTTGTGGAGTCTCCTTCTCTGGAGATCTTTAAAACCTGCTTGGATGCAGCCCTGTGCCACGGGCTCTAGGTGACCTTGTGTGAGCAGGGGGGTTGGACTAGATGATCTCCAAAGGTCCCTTCCAACATTAAGGATTCTATGACATTTGGCTTCAGTAGGACCAGAACCAAGAATAACAAGAGATTCCAAGCTAGCCAAGCAAGAAGCAAAAATCCTACTCCATATAACCTCATTCATGGAAAGCTCCTCGTGAGGAGGATGCTCAGGTGGAGTCTGGAGCAGCAGATCTGCACTCAAAAAAGCCAAGGAGCTCAAGCACTGAAATCTCACACTTTTTAAGGAATCAGAATTTATCTCCTAATATCCTGAAATAACGGACTATTCTCTACAACAGTCAGCATTTTCAGAGTATAGGTGACAATTTGGGGTGTTCTATTTCAAAACTTTATTTCCCTGCACATGGAGGAGAATTTTGTATCATCTTACTAGTTTCCCCTCTGTATAATGGCTGTGGATGGAGAGAAAGTAAAAGCATTTTAATCATGCTGGATTCTAGCACATAAATTTACAAATCTTTTATTTTGTTTTTCCTTGCAGTATCACTAGTCTTGTGCTCTTGGATAATACAGATTAGCCTCTCATCCCATCCTCCATTATCTGATTGGATTGATGAGGGGAATGGGAAGACTTTCCACTGAAAGAATTTTTAGAGTCCTGCATAGAGAAATAAAATCATCCCAAGGAGAATCACACACCAGCACAGCCCTGAGAAATACATAAAAAACACCCAAATTTTCACACGTACAGGCTGCCATGAGCCAGAGCTGCTGGCCAAAATCCCATCATCCTGCTGGAGATTTGATCTACAGCGCCTATGAATTCTCCTGTTGCAAAGCACTGAGACATGGAACAGACCTGGGCCCAAAAAGAGTTCCTTGAGGAACTAGAGATCATAGGCATTAAAAATAAAAACAAACGGAGAAACATGAAAAATAAAGAAAAGCAAAGGTCAAGGAAAGCAATGAACAGAATAGACAAATAGGTACCTGGGTACTTCTGGAGTACAAGCATCCAAAATTTGAATGTGTTTATGGGCAAGAAGGAAAAGTTATTTTACTTGAGAAGTTACTAGCAATAAAATGATTTTGTAACAGTAGAGCCAAAAAAAATAGCCAAATGCAGTGTTCATTAATCTATAACCCCTGAGATTATGTCAAGGTGACACCTTGGACCACAGATAAAACATGCTGATCACAAGATAATTGATAAAGCAAATTATGTCCTCAGAAAAAAAAAAACACTTTTATTTTCTTATACTGCACGAAAAATTCATTTGCATTCTAAGACACAGTTCTGCAACAATGACAGTGAACACCAAGAGATTTTCTAAGAGCAAACTCAATGGAAATGCCAAAACATGGGCATTATGCATAGGCTATGACTGCAATACACATTAAACAGTCTTGACTGCAGCGTCCCATGAAGGAGGATAAATCATTCACATCTCTTGGTAATGTGTTTTACAATTCACTAAAACTTCAAGTTTTTGAGAGCAAAGATAATGAAATCAAAAAGCAAAAGTCCATCAAAAATGGAAAAAAAAAAAAAAAGAACCCTGAACCTCAACTGGACTTTAGAGTCCTAGGCATAAACTGAGATCAAGATACTCATAAAACCTCATCAACAGTTTTAAAATATGGTGACACATGTAGAATGCCTGTATGAATCATTCAAAATCATTACTTGCTGGACAGTAGAATTTCACAATATTTGCCCAACATTGCCCTCTGCTGCTTGGAAACTTTTATAAAAACAACCAAATACAGGCTGAAGTGCTGTCGTATCCTTTCCTTAAGCATATCTGATGCACAAAAGGAGGTAGATTTCTTTTCCCTAGAGTCTTGTACCTTATATCAGTAATAATATTTTAGTAATCATAGCTCTTCTTGACGTTACAGAAAAAGTTTACCTATATTCCAAGTTTTCTCCAGGGAAGATATGAATCACCAGAGGAAAAAAGATTTATTTCCTTGTACTCTTACAAAACAACCTAAGAGTTTTGGAGTGAATATGTATGCTATATCTACAGCCTTCCTTTCCATCTCTCAAAAATTACGTTTAGTAAAATGACTTGTATGAAAACAGTAGCATTTGGTGATGCTGTTAAAACCGTATGAATATGTGCAGTAAATTTTGAATTAAAATCTTTTTTTTTAAATAACACTGACAACTCATTTTCCCATTGAGTGTACTTTACACAGTGTTCACGAGCATTTTCAAAAATATATATATATATATATATATACACGTGTATTTTTTTTAAATGTTCTCCTACTATTTCCAGTAAGGTTGTTTTATGCAGACAGCAAACAACAATTTTAACTCTTCTCACCATCTTCTCTGTGTACTTTCTCGCCTAGTGCATCTTCAATTATATTGATTCTGCACAAAGATTTATGAAATTAGCGGATTCCAGATGTTAGTTTTAAACACCAAAAGTTCTCTTCATAATTAGTAAATATTTGAAGTTTATCAATAGTTTAACAGCTATTCTTATATGGTCCTTTATCAGAATCATAGAATCATTAAGGTTGGAAGAATATCACATTTGTGTTATTTTCAAATATATTTACCCACTAAACAAAATGAAAACTACAGAATAAGGAATTTCTTTTGAATAATAAGCTCTAATACCAAAAATTACACTACTCCCAGGTACTGTTTGGGGATAATATATTTTTATCTTCTCAATATTCATTAAATACAGTATGTACCATTGCCATCTTAGGGCCATGGTTATTTATTGTCTTCCACAATAAATGCAGGATTCTTGAGTCTGTCTTATAATATTAAAAATGTATTTGCCTTCAATAAAAAACTTAAAATATCTAAGATTTTAACTACTTCTTTCTTCTTTATTTTTCAAGATCCTTAGCACTGTATTCTCATATGCATTTTTATTTAAAAGTGGACCCTCAGCAGACTTTGCATTGATTTACAACTTTAAACATTTTCCCCAAGGCAGAAAATAAATTAATGAAAGAATTCCCAGAATTGTGTACTTCTCCAAAATCCTGAAAGCTGCAGGCTAGTCTTCACTGGGCACAAAAAAAGAGTAGAGGCTATATATAAATATATATATATATATGTATAAATATATATATACATACATCTATAGGGATATTTATTTGAACAAATCTAAACTGAAAATAATATTCCTGCAGGGGGAGGGGAAAAAAAAAGTATATACACTTATTTTCAGATACACCAAGTTTCACTTTGGTTTTACCACAAGGATGGCAAAAATATCCTAAGCAAGGACCTTATCCTATCTTTAAGACAAAATAATAAATAATTAGGTTTATTTGTATCTCTCTCTTACTGTGTTGCATTAGGATACCTGCTATGTTTTACTAAGCATTCTGTGTAATTACACTTATGATCCCCCATACTTTGCTTTACTGGCCAAAACACAAAGTTTTTGGATCAAAGTCACTCCCATATTCCTTTTAAACATTTTTATTTGTTATTGTAGGAACAAAATTGCACCTTTCATTATATTAAAACTTCCACTGCATCCAAAGAAATACATGATATGGAAAAGGACAGAAAAGAAACACTTATGAAGAACAGTTATATAAACATTAAATTAATTTTTCAAAGGAATATCTCAACAGAACTACCTAAATTGACATAAACTCTGCAAATGATGGGGGGAAAGAGGAAGGGTGTTGGAACAACCACACGAAAACAGCAAAGTGCAGAGCCAAAGGGTAAAGTTAAGGGACAGATGAGCTGAAATGGCCACTGAATGTTGCAAAAGGATGTGAGCCCTAAGAAGGTGACTCTATGAGTCTACAATAATATTAAAGAGGGTGACACATCGTGAGAACGCAGATGACACAGGCATGGGGATTGCAGAGATGAATGCACATAAATAATAAACTAAAATATTTTAAAATATTAAACGATGCCTTGAATTATTAAAATAAAAACAAAAGATTTTATTCTTGTGATAAAGTAGGAACTCACAGAATGAAAACGGTTTAGGCTGGAAGGAAGTGCTGGAAATGACTGGATCTCATTGGATCAACCAACTGCTGAAATCAGAGCGAGCTCTGCTGCTCACTTAGGTTGCTCACGGTTTTTTCCAGGACAGTTCTGAACCTTTCAAAAGCTGCAGACCCTCCATTCTCTGTGAACAACCTCCTCCAATGTGTGACCATGCTCGAGGTCAGAAAATAAGAAACATTTTCCTGATATCTAATCAGAATTTCCATTGCTACAACTTGGCCGCTGACTTCTCCACTCCACCACCCCATACACAGCTGGCAGCACCAGGACGAATTGCATGTTAGTTCTCACTTTTCCAGACCAAATAATAAATTTAAAAAATAATAAATTTAATAAATAATAAATTTAAATGCATCTAGACAACGAGTGAGTCAGTTATCAAACTGTTCGACTAGTCACTGTGACAGACCTATCAATAGATAATCAAACATACTGAGCAAACATATATACATATATACCTTAATTCAGAGAGCTAAACGGAATTATGGTCTCTAAAAGACTTGGTTTATTTTTAAAAACTGTATTAAATATTGGGAAAAGCATAAAATTATTTAACACTGGCTTAGAAATGAATGAATGTGAAGTTGGACTAGCAATTAGGAGATTTCTAGGCATTAAAGGGATCACAATTTTAGAAAGTTTGTCTAGTTGGTATCTAGAGGACAAAACCAACCTAGTCTCTTTTGGGATACAACATGAGCTGTGCACAAGGAATATCACACAGTTGCCTGAAGCAGAAGGTTTGGGTTTGAGCAAAAGATTCCTTTCTAACCCAAACCCTGTCTAGTATTTTAGCCTTCTGTTCTCCCTCCTGATCGCTGTATGTTGTTGCATTTTCAAATAACACACATCTTTGGGAGTGGCAGATCCATGAGCTGAAGTTTCCAATAAAAAGTATGGCATTTTAGAATCAATTATTTAAATTCCTCTTTTTAAAAAAGAATAGACAAAAACAGAATTTGAATAGCAATGGCAAACTGCATTAGGAAGAATACACTAACCATTATGTTTAGGGATATGGCAACTGCTTGAAAGCCAGTATTTAAATTATTCAGTATAAGTTCTAATTAATGCACAAGGAGGTACAGGGCTGATTTACAAGTAGGCAAAAGTAAAGTTTTTACACACTCGGAGTGACAATGATTTTTATTTCACAATACCACCACAAAATACGAGGAGAAAACTGACACTATTGCATTGTTAAACTGAAGTTAAGCAATTTTTAAACTATGTGATACACAGAAAACCATTTGAAAGTTCAGCTTAGAAAAGAGCCAGGATTTTTTCCCAAAAGATAAATAAAAAGGAAAATTTAGAAAGCTACATACCATGTTTTCTACTCGCAGCTCAAAAGGCATAGGGTTGTACACCATCAGCTGGACTTCACACACATCTCCCTGGACCCACTGGAAATCTGTATCAAACAATTAAAGAATTAATACAGGAATAGCCCAATAACAGTGTTACAAACAAACAGTAGCATCAGCTGAGCTGTGTTGCTTTATTATCTTATGTTCTAACTTAAAATCCCTTTTTAACTTCCATAACCCAAGATCTCACTTGGATGTAACTGTGTGCCAACGTTACACTGGTAAAATTAAAATTAATTCGGGCATGAATTCAAAATACTTACTCAAACACAGCCTTAATATTAAAAACTCAGAGCTTGTATATGTGGCTTTAGGTGTAGACTTGTATCATCTTGTAAAACAGAGACTTGGATAAAAAGCAACCAGATACTCAGTGAAGAATAAAGGAAGGAAGAAATTAATAGTATTGGGAAAATATCTTCATATATACTTAGCTGACAGTAATTTAGAATAGTCTTTTATTTACTTCTTGAGGAGAAAAAGACTGTGCAACAGGAAGGTAGTACCTTAGTTTCTTCCTATTAATTTTCTGTGGGAAAGAAGTGTAGGAAATGCTGTGATAGGGGACACTTAGATGCATACGTATAGATATACGTTTTTTGAGATTCACAAAACAGAGGCTTAATCAATAATGCAGATTATTGACTCCTGAAAAGACTTAGGAAAGACACATGAACAGAGCAGAGATTAAGAAATAGGCTGTATTTACAATTTGTATTTCAATTTAGTGATTCAATGACAGAGATTTGGCTTTAAAGATGCTTAATCCTGTCAAGTTTACTTTTTTTTTTTTTTTTTTTAAGTTTAAGGAGGCTAGAAATTTAAAGAATTTAGGTCAACAGCAGAGATGAAATTTCTGAGGAACTGCTTACTGCACAAAGACTATTTTACATCAGCATTTCTCAAGCTTTTCAGACCACAAGCTACTGTCTACCTTCCAAATTTCTCACTGCTGGACACATGCACCTTGCATCCAGGCTTTAAACTGAATATTATAATATTTTTCCTATCAGCTGAGCAACCATAGTCCTAATAAACAAAAGATGATTTAATGATGGGTATTAAATAGATTCACTAAATCATGATCACCATCTAAGCTCTAACACACATAAATTAGCTTTTAACTCACTTAATAATCTTAATGAACTTTATTAATACTTTTCAGAAGGATATTAGAAGTGTCCTGTATAAACCACGATTGTTAAGACTGTAATTTACAATTAAAACTGTCTGTAATCTAATTACACATTCATAATCATTTAACTACATGGCTACATTTTGCAAGCAGCATTAGACAGCTCAAGGGAGATGTTCTTAATGCAAATGTTTGACTCCAATTAATGCAAGTGGAATTTAAAAACTTACCTTCTGAGATATGAACAGGTTACACTGCTATGAAATTCAGAATTGAAAACTGATTAAAACCAAATGATCAAAAGCATAATTCTATGAGTTGTTTGGTTGAATTTTATCTATATGTTAGCTTTATTAGCATACAAAATGTCTCATGTGTTTTGCACTTCTGGAAGAAATTGGTCGTTGCTTTGAAATGCTATTGCACAGAGCTGCAAAGCACTGACCCCCCCAGTACAGCTGCTTCAGTGCAGAAAGGTCCTTCAGTGACAGGGAACTGGGGTAACTTCCAGATTGGAAGGACAACCGTGCAGTGAGAAGATCCCTTTTGAAAAGACATCCAGCACACAAACATACAAACACATAAAAAGTGACTCTGGAAAAGTGAGATGCTGGAGACCTACAGCTTGATCATTGATCATTCAATTCAAAATGATCATTCAATTGGTCATCTTGGCTTGATCACGGTTTGATCATTCTGAGTGTCCCTCTGAATCAGACACATACAAGTTTCTTCTACAAAGATCCAAGTCTAAGCTCCATTTTTCGTTCTGACCCCCTTCTCTGTGCAAAACAGCCCCCTACAAATCTACTACAATTTATCTGTGGGCAAAAATAATCGTGTCTTATTGTTTCCCCCTAAAACGTGACTCTCACGACAGATCTGTTGCAAGATTTTCTAATGAAACATTCCTGCTGCTTTAGACTAACATTTTTTTAAAACACAAATCACTTGATGTCAAAAACCAGGGAGCTTATTTCTCCTAACAAGCATGGCATTAAAGCAATTTAACCAGAATACAATAATCCAATTTGTTGTTTCGAATCAGAAAAGCTTATCAATTTGAAACCTCAAAAGCTGCAAGCATTTTCTGAGGACTTTTTCTAAGGGCCTTTGTTTGCTTTTTGTTGTCAGAAATACTTGATATTCCTTGGTGCAACAATCATTTATGCAAAATACAGCTTACTAGCAATACAAAATACATTGGGTAATAAACCAAGTTTATCTGCAAAATCTTCAGAGAGCTACCAGTAGTTCAGAACAGCAGAAAAATACATTCTATTATCCATAAAGGAAAAAGGAAGATTATTTACTGGTTTTCTTTTTAAATATATCCATACAGTGATAAATCACTACACCACTAAATGTAGGTCTTAAAAATATTTTGATTATTTTGAAAGTATGTTAATTTTTTCTGCTTCTTGCAAGAAAAGAACCTGAGTTTGTTCTGCATGTTCTTTGGTTTGTGAGAGTTTGAATTAAACATCAGAAAAGTAAATCAGAAATGACGTTTATATTGTAAAAAACTAAGACTTTACATGATCACAAGCAGTTCAAGCACCTCCTTGGCCTGCAGAAAACCTAAAGGAAGAATCTGCCCTTAAAAATACAATTTTGATGGCACATATAGAGCATAACCAAACCTTGAATTTCTAAAAACACAGCTTCCCTTTTCTATCCATGAAGGAACATGACTAGTACATAAAACAACTATCTGACAAGATTAGCGACATGGTTATATTTTAACAAAAGGCTGTGACAAGGTTTTTCTAAATCTCTTAAGAGATTCAATGTAAAAAAATTAATCATGAATTGAGTTTCTTTGAAAGAAATTAATAGGACAAATGGGAACTATTTTTCAAAGAAATGTCATTTCTTGAGAAAAAATCACTTTTAGCTGTTCTCACAGAAATACATTTTTAATTTCTTATCCTTTCTTAGACATCTTGTGAAATCAAAAAAAGAATAAAAGGACTGCAGCAAAGCAAGCACTAAATCATGCCCAACCAGACTACCAGATAATAACCCGTTTCTCTGCATTTTTCATAATCTCTCATGTTGCAGCAACTCATGGAAAACACACATTATCACAAAACAAATTAGAAAGTGTGCATTTTTTTTTGAAAGGTGGAGGCTACCCCCTTAACCCTAATCACGGGTTCACCTCCAAGGGAGTTAAGACCAAGAGCTAACCCAGCACATGGTATGGAAAAAGCCTGGAGTATCAAGGATGAACTGCAGAGCCAAACACAACCCCAACAAACCAGACAAATTGTTGAAAGAAAAAGAAAAAAAAAAAAAAAAAAAAAAAAAANAAAAAAAAAAAAAAAAAAAAGGAAGAGGATGGGAATGAGATAACACTCCCTGTCCCTCTCACATGTGTTCACACATGGAAAAGGAGGGCAGGAAATGAAATCCCACTTCTGTTTTCTTCATATCCATGATGCTACTTCCATCGGAAAAGAAAAACATGTAACACAACTTGGGCACTGGCTCAAGACCAGTGGACAAGAAAATGTGTAAGAATTAAATTTTGCATCATTTCTCTTGGTCCGAGAAGAAAATATCATTAATCTCCCCTGAAAAACATTTTATTCCCCTTACTAAGACTTCACTCCCCTTCCGATTTTGGGTGAAACTCTCTCCTGGATTCAAAAACCACTTGGGAGACCAAAGCTTTGCTTCTGTCAGGCAAGCTGATTAATTCAAACACAAGCAGCTATATTCAGGGTCAATCTGAGTTTGATTGAGAAAACATTTTACAACCTAACAAAAACACTGAAAATACTGTAAAATATTCTTACCTATTTTCTTACTTCGTTCTTCACTCCGGTTGTGTGCAATAATTGGAGAATATATAAAGGGGCTTTTGGTTGTCATGTTCTGACCAAGTAAACTTTTCATTTTGTGAGGTCGGAGGCTGGTGGGGAGATTCAAGAGCTTCACAGATCTGTAAAGTATAAATATTTTGTGATGATTATATCAAAAATGATGCTGGTAAATACCAAATGACACTCTGGTATTGATTAAAATACTGGAAATGGTAAAATATGAAATAAACACCAAGGATAAAAAAAAAAGAAGATAACAGGAATCTGAGAAATTAAAGGAAAAATTCAGAAATGTCTGAGAAAACTATTACTAAAGAAAATTTAAATTTCTTAAGAAACCATCAAAAACAACATGAGCAAAATCAGTTATTTAAAAACCAACTAATAGCTTCCAAGACAAGCATGAATTAATTTTAAATATAAAAGGTGAACAGAGGCACCATTCTAACACAGTATCATTTTTTCTGCGCCACCTTCTATTATGCGTAAAATATTCATAATTTTTGTTAAAAAATGACAAAAAAAATCCTTTTATAATCACTCAAGTATTAAAAGCTCCCACTTTTCCTAAGTTGGTTTTCAAAGAAGAAATATTTTTCATAGAGTAAACGCAATTTTTGCTAATTGTTACAGGCATCACCACGCTGAGATAAAAGAATGAAATATATTGCTAAAAAAAATCTGAAGTTTTTAAATTATACTTAATTATATAGATTATATAATTATACAGATATTTATAAATAAATATATAGATAATATATATTTTATAGCAATTAAGAAGCCAGGTACAAGAAACCTACAAAATTGCAATTTATTTGTGGACTAATTTCTTTCTTTCCCTCCTTTCCCAAATCCATTTACTAATCTGGAAGTTCTCATTGGAATTCTTAGCTAATGTTATAATATAGCAAAGAGGCTCTGCATGTTAAATACATGATTAACTTTTCATGTTTTATTAAATTGCTCAAACACTATGAAAACAGCACTGGAGTACTAAGAAAGAAACCTGCCTTTCTCAGTTGTAAAGGTCATAGAAAAATAAATTAAAATCAAGTGTCTTCTTTTTTTAAAACAATTCTTTTCACATGCTAAGCTGACTTTGCATCATGCACTGGGTATAACTGAGGTCATTAACTTACTGAAGTTACAGAAGTATTCTTATTTTTAAAACATTAAATCGTTAATGAAAAAGCGAAAGTAATTTAAGTCCTGAGAAACGCCCAATAAATTCAGCACAACGAATAACAGTTACAGAAACCAAACAAATCAGTATCCCACTAATAAAAGGTATACATATAAGAGAGAAATTTATCTTAAAAATTACCCAAATCATTCACCATAATGTGGCACTGCTGAAAAATAATGAAGCTGTTAAGAGTAATAATACAAAGACATGTTATTTCAGTGATATAACACTTAGTAAGGAGTTATTAGAGAACATTAGAAATATTTCAGGACAAGAAATAAATCACATCAATACATTATCTGTTGGCAATGCTTAGTGCCAGCGACACACTCAAGTATGAAAATACTGACAATGAGTCGGAAAAATAAAGAGAAACTATGATAAAATTCTGAATATTTCAACTGTTAAAATTAATGCATTAACTCTTCTGATGGGATTTTGAAACCAATTAGAATGCAATGTACAGCAAAACATGCAAATGACATTCGAGGGAAATAAAGTTAAACCAGATGAACTGTTAATAAAGTGGGATTTTAATACAAAAATGCTTTGACCCATCCATCGTTATTATGTAGACTTGGTTTGAATTAAAAAATTAGCCTCTTTAATGTACAGCTGTGGCATGAATGCTCTTAAACCACATATACAGCGGGGTTTTTCAGTTCCTATGAATGGAAAGCTTGAAAAAATTAAGCCTTCTACCTCCAGTCAAGCACTCCTGACAAGCAACAATTAGGAATTACAAAATAATTTCATTTGCTGAAAGACTGAGAAGACGAAAATATTTGATTCGACAAACACTGTGCTAATTAAAAACAACCTTTCTTAGAGAGAAAATACAATAATAATAATAATAACAACACTACACCTAAATTAAAGAAGTAAAAGAAAAACCAGCAGTAATTAAAGTAAATTTAAAGTAGTAAGAAAAATTTATAAGGACAGTTTAAAAGTCAGTGGTAAAAAGAAGAAAAATCTTCCTGTTTTAAGTATTTTAGCAAAAACAGGAGTTTCAATATAACTAACTTATTAAAATATAATTGAGTGATATAAAAACAAATCAATAGATTCTTTTATTACGTCTTGGAGAAAATACTAGATGATGATTTCACACTATGCTCTAATGAAATATTTTCCAATCCAATAACACAAACTTTTGAGGCTTCATCGAAAGAATTAAAGATTCATGAAGCAGTTTTCCGGACTGCACCACCACATTTGAAATGACAAAAAGGGGTTCCAAAGGCTAAACAAAAATACATTAAAATGTGATACTATTTAAAGCAAGTCAATAATAGAACAGGTATCTAGGGAGATCATCGAAGTGCTGAACCTTGAGCCCAGCTTCTCCCAATAGACAAGCTCCTGCTTCCAGGTCACCTCTGGTGTGTGTCATCCCACACAAGCAAACCTCAAGCAAATGCTTAGGTCAAACTTGCTCTACAAAGAGTACCTCCCACACACTAAATCACTAATGTGAACACACAGCGTTCAGTGTTAAATCCTTTAGTAAACTCTATAGAGTTAAATCCATCAGAAATAGTTGGTGCCTTTCTTCAGTGAATGACAAATACAATTAAAAAGTTATACAGTACATAGTAAACTATATGAAGCATGGTCATGTAACAGACATTTCTTTTTCCTTTCAGAGATAGAAAATAATTTGAAGATAATAATAGTTTTCTCTCTTTCTAGAATTTAAATATCTCTTTTGAATATGCAAACATGAAATGTTTAATGACCACCAATGAGAACTCAAATCTCTGAGGATTCCTTCCAATAATTTCACCTTTTTTCTAAAGGGCAATTACTTTTCTATCAAGAACACACTTCTTGACACAGGTTTCCTTCCATTAATGGTGTCCAATGACTGTTTTCTTGTTCTAATATTTCATACTGTGTTTCAATCTAGATTACTTTCAATCTAAAGATTAAAGATTAGAATTAGTAATCAGTGGTGCACTGAAGACTATGGAACATACTTTCTACTAGAAGGATCCTTTTTGGTCTAAGAATTTCTCAAACAAAATTGACATTTTGACATTTTCTCATATTATTGTGAAGAATTTATGTGAACTGAGAAGCTTATATCTTTCTAGTATCACTTACAATTTGACAGACATGGTGGAAAACTTAAAGGTTGTATTTTGGAGACTTACTTCACAATAGGCAATTTGGTGAACGGAACTGGAGGTAACTTCAGGCCATCTGGAAGAGTAATGACATCCATGGTGCCAGGACATTTTGATGTGTAGCTTTCCAAGCTCTGGGTTACATCCTTCTTTTCTAGAGAAAAAGGTGTTAGAAGAAAAAAAAAATCAAGCTTATATGAAAAAAGCTTAAAATGAAGTCATAAACTAAAGTCATAAACTAAATTCTCTACCCTTCAGAGATTTTTTTGTATGAATGCAAAAAGCATTCATACAAAATTTTTCTAATAGATTGCCAAAAAATTTTATTATCTCGCACATTTCCATTTCCATACATGCTTACAGGCTATGCTCCACAAGTCTTAGTGAGTATAAGAAAAATAATTATATTATCCTAAGAAAGACAGATTTATTGACATTCTGCAATTTTTTAAGCTTCAGTGTATACCTAATTTTGTTAGTTTTTTTCTACCAACACAAAATAATTTCTGCAATTTTGCTAGAAAATCCACATTCCAAAACAAATGGCCATAAGTATTTTAAGATTATTAAGAATATCACTATGTGAACACGCCCTGTTCTGAAACATCAGCTGAAACAATTCCAAAGGCAAAAAGGAGAAACAAATTACTTCTATGGTAACCTCATATTACATCATTTCTAAAACAAATATGCTATACTATGCTATTGAACTGCAACAACCAATGATAGAATTTTGCTTTGGTTTTGTTTGAAAATAGAAGAATGTTCTAGTAAACATGCATGAAACCAGGTTTCCATAATCCTTCTAGTAAAATTATCTGGCTTGAGTGTTAAAGCTTCACTTTGAGTGCAAATGCAAAAAGGAAGAGTTTCAAATTGGTAAGAAAAGTGATGGGTTTTTTATGTGTGGGGGAGGGGAGGTTGTTTTTATAATAGGACAGCACTTTCTTTAATCATGAGTAAAATAAAATACCATACCTTCATGAACTGAATAAAAATGTGCCCAGTGCTGGGCTCCCCAGCGTAGGAGAAACATGGAGCAATTGAAGAGAGTCTAGCGTTAGGCTATGAATCTGATGAAGGGACTGGGGCATCTCTCCTATGAGGAGAAACTGAGAGCTGGGCCTCCTCCAAGAAGAACTGACCAGTGTCCAGCCTTCTTCTACAGTGTTATGACCTCCCAGAGACCTCCAGGAACTCCACTGTTGTAAGTGCTTGGAACACTTGAAATGTATGGTCTCTGAGAACAACCTGCATGTCTTCTGCTCATCTCCAGGGATGCTACGCAAGCTACTGACTTTCTCCCCTAATTCCTTCACCTGCAGGCAAAACTTCTTTACACAGAATCACAGAACGGTTGAGGTTGGAAGGTTGGATCATCTAGTCCAACCCCTCTGCTCAAGCAGGGACATTCAGAAGATGTGGCACAAGGTGGAATCCAAGTGGGTTTTGAAGTCCTCCAGAGAAAGACTCCACAACCTCCCTGGGCAGCTTGTTCCAGGGCTCTGTCACCCTCACAGTGAAGAAGTTCTTCCTCACGTGGAGATGCAACTTCCTGTATTTCAACTTAGACCTATTGCCCCTTGTCCTATCACTGGCCGCCACTGAACTCCCTTACCTGAAGCACACCTTTTGCAGGAACTCCACGTAGCTAGAACTTCTCACCAAAGAAGCTAAAACCTCCTGTAGCTCTCCTTGTCTATCTCTCCCTTCTTGTTGGGGCCAGTTACCCTCTAGGTCTTAAGGGGTTCCCAGAAAGCCTCAGCAACTTCCCACAAGGTCCTCAAAAGCCCTAAGCAGAGCCCAGACACTGCTGTGCAAACTGCTTCTGTTTACTGCACTCTCATTCAGAATGTTATTTTGCTATTTTATACCAAGCAAGGATATATGGTGTATATATAGCATCTACTGAGATACAAAGCAGCACAATTGTCAAGAAAGAGTGATGACAACACCAGCACAGCGTGCGCTCCACTTCTGCTTGAAATGGGAGGTCTGTCACGCTAAGGAATCAGCTCTCGTTTCCTAAAGGCTGCAGTGCAAAACTCTGTCAGCCGGTGCATTTGAAGAAAGAACATTGCCATTTTTCAGTGGAGGCTATTTCTAGATTTCAGGGTTGCATTTTCATTCACAGCATGAGCTCAGCCTGCTTTCCACAAAAGACAAAGCTCAAACAGGGCCTCATTCCATCCTGATATGATATTGAAGGCAATTCATACCTTGCTGCTACCAAGCTGGCATCTCTGTGACTCTCCCCTTAGCATGAGGTCACAACTGAGATGCTAAAGGAACCTCCATCGATGCAGTGCATAGAGAAGTACACTTGATATAAAAGAGCAAAAAGAGCATCGATCTTGTCCACGTTTGAAAGTACTTGTGGGAGCCTTTCTGCCTTACCTGAGCACCTTGGCAGCATGTACAAATGTCACAGACTTATTGCACAGCCACATTTGCATCCAACCTTAGTGGTTACCCCAACCAATAACCAGACAGGACTGTTTGTTTCCAAACAGCTCCCCGAGCATTCCTAGCATCTGCCTGGCTCTCATCCTATTTTGACACAATAAAAAGTGTGCACCAACCTTACAGGAGAATCTTTTCAAGTTCCCTGATTGACAGCTAGGAAGATTGCCTGTGGCTGAAAGATATAAGATACCACCAGTAGTTACCTTTCTCTTTGCAAAGGGATGGAAACCAGCTACTCTTTTGAGGGCTCTTTACCCACCTAGTATCTTCATGCTTGGATACGTCAGTAGGAAAACGTTCAGCACTTGATCCTCTGACCTGTGAATTCTGCTCAACTGCTTTAAAAGGCTGCACTGCAGCTGGAAGCACTGCTGGATGCCCTCATGTAGGGATTACAGCAATTCATTCACTGAGTGAGAAATGACGGGTTGTTTTCTAAAGGCTCAAACATGAACACTGGCAATCCTGAACCTCCTTGCAATCTGACCAAATTCCCTGCGGATTAGTGCAACAGCACTGGTTATCTGTACAACCTATTGAACTCCTCAAGATCATTCACATATATATTTATATCCTGCAAACACAAACCCTGCGAGGTCCATTTCCTCTATCTCTATAAAACTTTCCAGAAACAAGTACTCCTGACAATTTTATGACCTACAAATTCCATTATCTCATTTCAAATAACAAAATTCATGAATCTTTCTCCAATTTCCTCCCACACTCACTGAAGAATCAGGATCTTAGAATGCCTGCAAACAAAATAAGCTGATAAAGCCACCGTCACTATTTACACTTGTATCCATTTTTCTTCGTTTGTTCAACATAATCTCATAGCACAACTGTATAGTTAATCACTAGATTACAGGATGCAAACAAATGATCCTCATGATCTTTGAGCTTTTACACAAATTCTAGTTTGGGAGAGATGCAGTAGGACACTAAACACAGCATTTGCATACTCAGTACCTTCATTTGTCACCACCACAAGCCATCTGATGTTGTCAGTGAAGTGTCTTAGCAAGACTTGTAGGATCAATCCACTAATTCAGTATTCCAGTTTTTTCCTATCTGCAAGAGCTGCAGGTCTTTTCCTATCTGCAAGAGCTCATCCTCTGTTTTTCTATTGCATTAAGTCTGATAGGAATTCGGCAATAGCATTTTCTACATTTTTATTAAACATTTCACAGAATCACAGAATAACTGAGGTTGGAAGGGATCATCTAGTCCAACCTCCCTGCTCCAGCAGGGACACCCAGAGCATGTGGCACAGGGTGGCATCCAAGTGGGTTTTGAAGACCTCCAGAGAAGGAGACTCCACAGCCTCCCTGGGCAGCCTGTTCCACTGCTCTGTCACCCTCACATTAAAGAAGTTCTTCCACACATGGAGGTAGAACTGCCTGTGTTGCAACTTACACCCATGATCCCTTGTCCTGTCACTGGCCACCACTGAGAAGAGTTTGGCCCCTTCCTCCCTACATTCTCCCCTCAGGTATTGTACAAATTAATCAGATGTCCTCTCAGTGTTGTCTTCTCTAGGCTAAACAGGCCCAGCTCGCTTAGTCTTTCCTCACACGATAGGTGCTGCAATCCCTTCATCATCTGCGTCGCTCTCTGCTCGACCCTCTCTAGAAGCTCCATGTCCCTCTTGTCCTGAGTAGCCCAGAACTGCATCTATTTGTACTGTGCTTCCAAGAGAGAAAAATATGTGGAGCAAGTAAATATTCAAACTACTCCAAGATCCAATGCTCAAACAAGGTGTCCTGTAGGGAATGCCCTGAATGCTAGATTTTCCTCTCAGTATTCTCTGCTGCAATAACTCTCCACACTCACCTATGCTTTTACACTGCCCTGAACAATTTCTTTACAATTCCTACCTACCAGACTACCAGACAAAAAGGAAAGAACTACAGTGAGTAAGGGCCAGAGGTCTTTTTTTTTTTTTTTTTTTTTTTTTTTTTTTTTTTTGCCTTTCCCTCTGATATGGACACTGTTAGGGTCTTCCTTTTCTTTGCATGAACAAGAGTCATGAATCTCCAAAAAAAAAAAAAATAGCACCTCTGATCTCCATACCACAGTTTGTCAAAAGCTATTCCTATGGGGAAGATGGAAAGGCACGGGTAGAGAGCATATTCACAATACCTGTGATATTACATAAATTCTGGTTCTCTGAGAGATCACACAGAGTAAATCTTCACTTGATACAAAGGAGACTAAAACTAATAAAATCCACAGAGTTTCCGAGGAAAAAGTTAGCAAAAAGAAAATAATTAATCTAGGCTAGCCAGGTAGTCAGGTGAGTAAGGCCCACTTCCACAAACAGACCACCACAAATAAGATAAAACAAAGTGGCTCTGTTCACATGAAGAACAGCATGAGGGCAAAGAGGTTATTTGTTGGGTAGCAGCACATTTGCAGAAAGGATCAGCTTTTCCCTCTCCTGCAAAATTGGTAAAGATTTTTGTTTTCAACATACACAAAAAAAATAGTTATCTGTGGCAGTTTAATGTTTTCTACTTCTGAAGTAGATCAATACAGGGGAAAAAAATGAAAGTGAGTGTCTGAACACGCAAACATCTTTTAATACAGGATTTTTAATAATTATATAAAACATTTGTATACATTAAGTCACACTGAGCTTGAAATCCACTGCTAGCACAAAAGTATTTTTAGACAAAACCTCATGAA